CCTCACCCAGCTTATTTTCCAAGGTCCTCTGACTAGAACTTCCCTCTCTCTAGACACTCTTAACCCTCTTCCCCTCTCCTATTGGCACGCTCAACTGGCTAAACTATAACCCTGCTCAATCCGGCTCTCCATCTTGTCTATACCCGCACCCACCAGGGTGAAGGACAAGAGGAAACCTGCAACTGTGCTCACTGTTCTCCCTTTGGATTCATGAACACTGGCCTGGTGGGCGTGGCCCTACGTGCCTCTACATGGCTCCTGACCTTCCACGGCCCGGGCCAGCAGTCGCCCGCACGTCCTGACTCGGTGTGGTGTGTGCTCCCAACAAGCTCCCAGGGGATGCTGGTGCAGCTGGAACCACCACACTTGGTACCCGAGGTCCTAGATGGAGACTCCCAGTGGCCCCTCCGCCCTCAGATCTCCGCGGCACCGTCCTCACTTTCTGTTGCAGCCATAACAAACTGCCACCCACTCTGCGGCGCCACATGGCACAGATGTGTTAGTTCTGCAGGTCGGGTCTCCAACGCAGGCCTCACGGGGCTGCGGGGAGGGTGCTGGGGAGACTCCGCTCCCCTGAATCCAGCTTCCAGCAGCGCCCGCGCCCGGGCCCACCGTCCCTCCTCCCCTGCAAGGCCAGCAGCATCGCCTCCTCCGCCTTCCCTCCACAGGCACCTCTCCCTCTGACCACCACTGGGAGAGCCTGCTTCTCAGGACCCAGGTGACGCTCCAGGACGGTCTCCCCATCTCGAGGACCCCGAGTGCTTGGCATCTGCGAAGTGACCCACGCATTCACAGGGGGTCAAGGTGCGGACATCCCTGGGGCTGTTCTGCCTCTTGCCCATCCTCTCTCCCCACTGAGGATGGGGCTTTGTCTGGGATCCTAGCAGTTTCCCTGCCACCCCCGCAGACCCAGTGGGCGCTGTGTGGCACTGGGCACATGCAGGGAAGGACGGATCATGTGCCACTCTAAGGCAGGCTGAGACTCTCGCTCAGCGGCCAGAGGAAAGGCTGCTCTCCACCTCCGTCCCCACGTCAGCCGCCCACCCGCGCCACCTATGAGGCCACAAACGTCCGAGGCCACGGTTCCATGGAGCATCCCAGTGACCCTCCCCAGATCCAGGCCTCGGCCAATTTTCTGGAGTCTCTTCCTATTTGCAGAGATGTCCATAGACGTGAAGATATAAACGTGCTTGTTCTACTCCCAGCCGCTGTCCAGAAGGAAGGCCCCCAGAGAGGCTGGCCAGCCCTCACAGCAGAGCAACTTTGGGGGGACTTTATTCTAGGCACCTACATTTCATTTCTAAAATCGCTCTGGGAAGGCAAGAGATTGAGGTTCATTTTTAAAATCTATTTGCTTGCCACCTAGACAGAAGCACAAAGAGGGGATCGTCACGGGAGGGAAGGGAGAGCTGTAAGCCAAAGAAAATGCTCTGACTTTATTTTTCTCCTTTGTGAAGCATCAACAGCAGGCTCTGTGTGGATTCGACCCGGGAAGTGCCACGTCCCCGTGGGTGACATATCAACACACACATACACACGGAACGGGGGACGTGCTGACCTGTACCAGGCACTTAAACACACGGGATCCAAATTAAGACTTATCAGCAAGTTCATTATCTAAAAATAAATCAGCTTTTCTTTGCTTCATCAAAAGATCAGATTATAGTGTATGCCGCCGGACTTTCAGAATACCGCGTTTTTACTCTCAGACAAGGGAGGACGGTGAGGATTATTACATAATCTGTCAGGTCCCATAGGCCGATCGCGGAGGCGGTCTCATGGCGTGTCCATTGCGACCGCGCAACAGGCTTCGGCGGCGAAGCACAAAACCATTTGGAAAAGCGGCGTGGAGGGCAGAAAACACTGCCAACATTTCAGGCAGGACGCTCCTGGCCCCCCGAGGTCAGACGGGCCTCCCCCACCTTCTGCATGACCCGGCCGGATCTCTCCCTCCTTCTGGGCATCGACAAGGCCAAGATGAGCACTCCGGGCTGTGCCCTCACAGGATGAGGCGGGTAAAGAGAACGTGGGTTCTTGTCTCCCCCAGCGTGGGCCGCCAGCCGTGGGGCCCAGGGGCAGATCGCTGCCGTGAGGAAGGGGGCCCGGGGCAGTTTAGCCAGTTTCCACAAGACTGCCTTCACTCGGGTACCAGCCTCAGGTCTGTGGCCCCCAGGCCACCAAACTGCAGACCAGTCGGCTCCAAAGCCGGGGGCCTTCACGACCACCCTTGCATTCCACAAGTTGCCGGAACAGCTCACAGAACTCAGCGAAGCACTATGCTTACGACTGAAGTTTTATTGTGACAAAAGGGTGCAAATCAGCAGCAGCCAAAGGGAGAGATGCATAGGACGAGGTGGAGGGTCCCACAGGATGCATCGCCCTCCCACCACATCCAGGAGGGTCAGCGACCAGGGGCACTCAGCCCAGCCCAGTGTCCCGTGCTTAGCAGGGCTACGTTATATAGACAGGATTGACTGCGTTGTTGCCCATGTGGTTGAACTCAATCTCCAGCCCTCTTCCCTCCCAGAGGGTGGGCTAATGTCCCGTGGTCAGCGTCTCTGGTGCAGCCGACTCCACCCTGAGTCCTCTTGTTAGCATCAACTGTCTGGGGGCCCGCCCTGAATCACAGACACACGTCTAGCCCTCGAGAAACACCAAGGGACAGAGATCACCTCCCAGGCACCAGCGACAAAGACCAGACCTCTCCTCGGGCTAAGGCCAACTTCTTCATTACACTGGGGGTATTTGTCGGGGTTCTCCAGAGAAACAGAGCCAACAGGAGATCGATTGGTTCTAAAGAATTGGCTCATGCAGTCACGGAGGCCGACAGGTCCCCAGATGTGCCGTCAGCAAGCTGGAGGAGAGGAGAGCCACGGCTGTGTCAGTCTGAAGTCTGGCAGGCTCAAGGCCAGGAGAACCCATCCTTCAGTTTGGATCAAAGGCAGGAAAAAGCCAGTGTCTCAGTTGAAAAGGCAATCAGGCACGAAGAATTCCCTCCTACTCACAGGACGATCAGCCTTATTGTTCTATTCAGGCCTTCGACTGATTGGATGAGGCCCACCGAAACTAGGTTGAGCCGTCATGTTAATCTCATCCAGAAACATCTTCCCAGACACACCCAGAATTATGCTCGCATAAATATCTGAGCCAGGTTGATACCTAAAATGAACCATCACCAGGACCAAAGACCAGTGTCTACCACTGTCCTGAGGGACAGGCTGGCCTCACCATACTGTGGGGTCAGAGAAGGAGTGAACAGTGTGTGTGATCAAGTACTAACTGTGGTCATTCGTGGTCGTGGGGACACGGGCAACGTATTTCTATCTTCTTTTCTGGATTTTTCACGTCTTCTGTAATAGAATTTTGTAAGGAGGAGGTAAGAACGTAAGAAGCCATAGAGTCCCACAAATGGAGTCTATTCTACTCAGTTCGACTAGCTGATGCTCCTTCCCAACCCAGGTGAGGGTTAAACCGGCCGCTCCACAAAGGGTAGGAGGGGGCACGGGGCAGGAGGGTGCCCCACAGAGAAGGGGCTGGGCCAACCCAGCGCCACGCAGCGAGTCTCACGGCCACCTGCTGCGCCCATGACTGCCCTGGGACTGTGAGCAAGGGGGTGGGCTGCCCTCGGGTCCCCCAGCCCCTTTCCTGCCTCCAGAGCTGCACTATCCAACACGCAGCCCCTGGCCACACTAGGCCTTGAAAACAGGGCCCGTCTGGGCTGAGACACTCTCAAAGTATAAAACACACAGAGATTCATCAAAGGACATGGGAAGCATCGTGTTCCTCGTGTTTCTATCCTGACTGTGGAAGATAGAAGGATAACATTTCAGATACATTGGGTTAAACAGAACGTACTACTTCATTTCATCTATTTTACTTTTCAGAACAATGCAAAATGGCCCATGTGGCTCAGGCCCCTTCTGTTCACGGTGTGCAGATTTGCTCCAGCCCACGGAAGCCATAACACGCTCTTCCTCGGGGCACCGATCCTTCCCTTCCGGTCCCTCCATGACTCTGAGGCTGACGGGAACCGATGAACTTCGACCCACTGGCAGCTCTGACAAGGAAGCCCCGAGAGCAGGAAACCAGGGAAGCTGCCCTGGAGACCCCCGGAGCCGGGCCCTGCCCACTTGCCCGCCGGGCTTGACCTGCTGCCCTGACCGTCAGTGTTGAGCGGTCACCCCTTTAAGCAGAGTATGTCTGTTCCACTGGATTGTTTATATGTACACACATACACACACGCGCGTACATGCATACATATATGTGCACGTGCACTATATACATGCACAAGTGTGTACTTACACGTGTGTGTACATGCATGCACGCACATCCATGTGCGTGCATACGTACAAATATGTGTGCACACGCACACACCCACAGTAAACGCACGTGTGTGCACAGGCACACGCATGCATGTACCTGTGCACATATGTGTGTGTGCATGTATATGTGCACAAGTGAACACCCATATATCTGCATGCATGCACACCGATGTATGCACACACATGCACACCCACATATGTATGTATTAAGCCTACAACGTATGGATGCCTGAGCCACAGCGGCTCTGGAGAACACAAGTTTTCAAGGTGGAAGGCAGAGATTCTCCAAGACCAAGGGGCTCCCTGGGCTGCATCCCCCCCAGTTAGTGCTTGCCCGTCACTCTGGAACCTAGGTGCGTTCCGCCCTGGAAGAGGGGCCGTGAGGAAGCTGCAGCGGGTGGCCTGGGCCTCCCAGAGGTGGATGCCGGGCCTCTCCTCGCACAGCTCACTGCTGGGCAGGTCCCCAGCGCCCTGCGAGTTGGAGCGACAAGCCCACCCCATGCAGGTGCAGCCTGTGTTCTGAGAAGTGGCGCGGTGGCTTCGCAGGGCCCCAGCAGCGGTCACAAGCGGCGCAGCTGGCCGCCAAGAGCTCCCAGTTAGCGTCCTCGCTCCCCCGGGGCTGGGTCTGCCCGAAGATGCAAAGCCCGCAGTGACTACGACAGGAAGCACTGAAAATACCTTTACTGTTTTCTCATTGTGCTCTTTGCATCACACACTTCACGGCAGCTCACGGGCTGGGCCCTTCCAGGTGGGCGTCTCTGCCGATCTTCACTTCGGCTTCGTCGTGCCCTCAGTCCTCAGTCTCTTCCTCTTCCATTATTGTCAAGGAAGCTGGATTGAAGATCAAACAAAGAGCGGGTTTTCTGCATGAATGTTCAGCAGTCCCAAGGACATGTCATCAGGTCTGCGAACACATCTACGTGGCCATGATCTAGTCAAAGACAAGTCTGGTCAACAGTCTGTCTGTCCTGGCTCCCTGTCACCAAAGGGGAAGTGTCTCCACTTCTCGTGGCCTCGCTCTGCAGAAGCCCCCGAGAAGGGCGTGCACGTCCTGCCCTGCGGGAAAGTACCGTGGCTCAGACAGCTCGGCAGGGGCAGCCGTCCAGACCCTACAAGGTGTCTGGGTAGGCCTTTTCTCTGCCCGGTTGCTCCGGTGAAACCGAGTCTTCGCGACTAATGGGGAACAAGAGGCCCAGAGAGCACGCGTCCACACAGCCTGAGGTAGAGCTGAGGGTTTAGGGTGCTTCCATCTCTAACCTGGCCAGGTGCTCACCTATGAAGAGCAACAAGCAACCGCCAAAGCCCTCCCCTCCGGAGACGGTTAATAAATACACAAAAGCAGAGGTGCCGGGTCCTGAGGGGCTGCTCCCACCCCTTGGGCCACGCGTTCCCGCACCCCCGCCAGGAAGCACCCGATTCGGTCTGCGGGTGCTGACTCGCCCAGCCCCGCGGCCGCCCGCACGCCTCCCTGCCCTGCCCGCCACGGGGCAGGCCTGTCCCGGACGGGGTTTCTGCGGGAGCCAAGCTGTGCCCTGGGCCTGGACGACCTGCCGTCTTACCGTCCTCCTCCCTGATGATCTCACTCTTGTCCAAGGGCTCCATACTCGCGGGCTGGGAGGCCGCCTGCTCGCCTGATGGGGCTGCCTCCGCTGTCTTGCTGGACTTGGGAAACAGAGGTATGCCCGTGGGCGCTTCCTTTTCTCTCCTGTTCTCTTGAACGACTCTGAGGGCAACAGAGAAATTGAAGGCGGACAACTCAATGGGTTGTCCAGTCCTTCACCAGGACGCCTCCCTAAAACAGGGGCACACGTGCTTTGCCGTAGCCATGCCCACTTTAGCTTCTGATGTGTGCACCACACACACGGTCGTGCGTGGCGTCCAGATGCCCAAGGGCGAGAACAGACAGGGACAAGGTGAGTGTGCAGGCAGGTCACTCAAGATATCACCTGGCACCGCTCAGAGCAGGGGAGGGGTTTTCTTTGCTTCTGGACAAAGTGACATGCTAGTCTCCGTGGCTCCTGTGTCGTAAGGGGGTTTGAGGTGGGGTCACTCGGCCCCGGGTGGCAATGATGAATCCAGGCTCTGACCGTGGGCAGCCGCCAGCTGCCGTGGCCTTGTGTCCTCATCACCGAAATGAGAGGGGAGATTCGTGTCTGGAGCACGTCTACACCGTGGCTCACAGCCCAGAGCGCCCTGCAGACACACCGGGCGGGGAGCCCCGCGCCCCGCTCGTGGGCGGACGGGGGCGAGCAGGACGCGGACCATGTCGGAGCTCCTTAACTGCTGGGGGCGTCATCAGGAGCTCTGGGGGAGCCGCTGGGCCCCTCTGGCTGCGACAGCCCCACCCGCTCCTCGCCACCCTGCGTCCCACACCTTCTGCAGGTGCGTTCAGTGGAGGAGCGACTGACCTGTAAATGATAGTGATGATGAAGGCCCCGGCGATGATCACGATCAAGGCAGAGAACAGCTGCACATAGACTGGAAAACAGTTTCCGTTACGGAAGTCAGGCCTCCCGCCCGAGGCAGGTGGCGCCCTGCCCCTGCTGCCCGTGGCCTCTCCTCCACCACCGCCCCCGACCGGGCCGCTGCCGAGGACTCCAAGGCCCCACAGACACGTGAGGCTCCACGTGGGCCACGCAGAGGACAGCTGAGGCCTGCCCGTGGGGACAGTGCAGGCAGAGCCCTTGTCTCTTCTCCAGAAAAGCCCCTTTGCCGCCCGTGAACGGGGGCCCCCCACCCCAACTCCCCAGAAACGGTTCCTCAACATTAGGGTGAGCTGTCCCAAGGCTGAAGAGAAGGAGAATGCCTCTTGGCTGATAGCCACATTCCACTGGCTGAGTGTCTCTGTATTAAGGAGGGCCTTCCCCTGTCCCCCTGTCTTCTCTAGACTCGACCCAACAGAAGAACCTGGGCCTCCAGGGTGACTCTTGGGCAGCAGCCCCTATTCCCGTGCTTCCAGCTGTGGGAACGTTCTGGGCCCCTTCCCCCCGCCCCCACCCGGGGAAGCCTTCCCGTGGGGGCCCTCCATTGCAGGTGCCTCTCCCGTTGGGACTGACGTTTGGGGTCCATGGCTCCTGGGCTCAGGCAGAGCGAGGGGCTGTGTCCCAGGGTCCTGGTGCCCAGGCAGCCCCCATGAGCACGCTCAGTGGAGGCCCTGCGACCAGCACCCTCTCGGTTGGGGTGAGGTCGGGACGGGACGGGACGCAGGCGGAGCTCCCGACACGGCGCCTGGCACGCAGTTCGTGCTGTGTCCCTATCGTATTATTACCATCATGCCTCGTCTCGCACTGCTTTTCACTCTTTCAAAGGGCAGAGACTGGCTTCTTTGCACACCCCTACCTCAAGCAACAGGGTTTGCTCCAGTTCTCTTACCTCCTCCTCTAAACCGTTTTCACCTGTCCTTAACCAGCAGTAACACCATTAGATGCCACGTCCCTGGAGGTTCATTCACGTGCGGAGGCTGACGTAACAAAATGCCACCAGTGGGTTGCTTCAGACGACAGGGAGATGCGGTCTCACAGCTGTGCAGGCCAAAGTCCACGGTGGCATCCCCAGAAGGCTCCGGGGGCTCCTTTCTGCCTCTCCAGCTCCTGCAGGTCCCGGCGCTCCTTGGTGTCCTCGGCTTGGAGACCCCTCACCTGGCTCTCTGTCATCACGTGGCAGCTTCCCTTGGGACACCATCTTCATGGGGCGCTCTCCCCTGTGCGTGCTCTGGGCATCTCTAGGTCTCCTCTTATAAGGGACCCATGGTAGTCCAGTGTGACCTCATCTTAACTAATCACATCTGTAAAGACCGTGTTTCTAACTAAGGTCACATTCACAGGTACCAGAGTTTGGCCTTCAAGGCATCGATGGTGGCGGGGGCGGGGTGGGGTGGGGTGGGGGGTTAAAATTCAACCCACAAGAGAAGGTAAGCAGTAGCTGCAGAGAAAGCTGCCTCACAGGCATGGAAGAGCGATTCCAGTGGGAACTGCATTCCCTGGACTAACCCAGAGCGTCTCTGAGAACAGACGGGGCCTCCAGGATCCTTAACATGGGGGCTGAAGTCAGAGAACTGAAGGGGGTTGAAGCCAAACCGCTCAGTGATAGCAGCCCAAATGCTTACTTGTCCCCTACTGATCCGAGCTCAGTAAGTGATGGTCAGCCATACATGCGATGGGCACTCCACGGTCAAGGGTCCATCAGGGAGAGGCTGGAGGGGGCGGTGGGACCTGGCCTGTGGGGTGGCCAGCACGCCACAGCAGTGAACCAAGCAGCAAGCTGCTTGTTGAAGGCTCTGTTCTAATCAGCTGCTTTCTTTCTTTCACTGATGCGTTTCCCGTGGAAATGTGTTCACCTCAGTTCATCTTTCCATCTCCAGGGCTGTAATAACCAGCCTGCAGGATGGCCTGCAGGGATGCTTGCCTCCTGGTATTCGCACCCCGGTGCAGACGCTTCTACATTGCATAGGGCTGACCTCTGAACCAAGGGCACTGGGCAGGGTGTAACTGCCGGGGCTAGGTCAGAGTCATTGTGTCTTCTACCCGACTTTCTCGGGCCACCAGCTCTGGGAAGAGGCCATCACCATGTCGTAAGGACAGGCAAGCAGGTCTCACGGCACAAAAAGGGCTTCCTGTTAACCCTTAGTACCACTCGCCAGCAAAGCAAGCCGTCTCAGAGCAGGCCCTCCAGCCCCGGTCTGGCCCTCAGATGACTGCCACCTCGTGAGTCGCCAAGCCCACACCACCCAGCCAAGCCTCTAAGCTGTCGCTTTAGGCCACTAAGTTCTGGGTAGTTCGTTAAACAGCATAAGTAACTAATACGAGGGTGTGGCAAAGGGCATGGCACAGAGAAAGTGCACTTAAATGACGCTGAATGAACTGAATGGAAATGATCAAACCAGGAGCTTTTAAGGGACAAGAAGAGAGCCCTCAAATTCTCGAATTCCAGGACATGTATGTTCCTTAGTGTGATTTTGTGTCCTGGTTCATGGAGTAAATTTAGAATTTATGTGGGTGAAGCCGTGAAAGAGACACACACGGACAACGTTGGAATATCCGATTGTCAGTATATCTTCCAAATCTTTACACGTGTAAGTATTTTCAGTCTTTGGTGTCAAGTTCTTGGAGGCAGAGGCTGAGTCTCTGTGAGCCTCTCTGCGCAGGATCTGGCCAGCACATGATTTGCTATCAACAATATATATGGTTTATCATAAACCATATATTATGATTGGTCACTGAAAAATAGCAACAACTGAAGAAAGCATTATTATCTTTAAGTAATCTCTTGGTAATTTCGCCCCCAGATACAGTTAAAAGTTTTGAAATCATCTCAGCTAGTCCCATGAAGAAACAGAAGTCAAACACTTAGAAGAAGTGACATGTTAAATAATGTGCCCTAAATCAAGACTGAAGAATGAAGGCAAGTCATTCTCTTTGAATTCCCAATTCTTTCTCAAAGATCTGATGCTAATTCCCCAAGTTCATATTCTTAATAATACAGATTATGCCATAACACAATGTGCACTTCAAACCAGCCAATTTAAGAAGTTGGTGAAAGGTTTTCATAACATGGAATTATGTGCACAAAGAACTCATAATACCCTGTCACTGAATACTACAACTTACACAGCACAAAGGTTCACTTGCCGTCTTGAATGAGAAAGATGTCAAGGAAATGAAAAATAATTTGGGGGCACAGTGAGAACCCAAATGTAGGGCTCACTGCCCAGACTCTTCCCACAGATGGCCCAACCTCTCAAGCTTGAAAGAAGTCAGAAGTTAAAATAAAGCCTAGCCCACAAAACTCATTTATTAAAACTGAATGGATGGGAAGAGGACTAACATTTGCCTCCATGCAAAAATGACGTAACTACTTGTACAACAGTGAACCCCCTGCCCGGACAAAAAACTCCTGAGGGTCTGTGTTCTTTTCTGGGTTCCTTACAGACACTAATAAGTAAGGTGCTATAAAGAATAAGGCTCATCTTTCAAATGAGTTACAGACATGAGGTAATAATATTAATGCACGTTATGTTTGGATTACATACTAACATGTGCAAAATGGCTAACTTTCTCCTAAAATTCTCATGAGAAGACATTCAGGGGAGGGACAGATGGGAAAAGCAGTGGCAGCAGCTTGAGTCTGTGTGTCCTCGCTAGCCACGATCTGCCTTCCAGGTTCCATCTCACCACCTTATGCTGTTGGGGCCGTTTCACTGGGACATGAGGAAACCGGAGTGACAGCCAAAGACTATGACCACATGTGAGACCTGACTTAGTAACTGAATGTCTTCTGCATCTTCATATGTGGAATATTGAAAGAACAAATTCAAATGCCCTTTGGATGTGAATGTTTCCTGCTTTTAGAAGCCCCAAATGGTAAACAAAAAACTAAGATACATAAGTGCTTAGGACACGGGAGCCAAGAAGCAAAGCTCCACGATGTGCTCGTCTGTTGCCCTCCAACAGTGAGATGTGTGTCAAACCACCGATGCCACAAAATGACAAAAAGGTGACAAATGCCAAAAGCAGCAAATTATGGCCAAACCACCACCCAGTGCCATGCCCTCAACTCAGGAATAGCTGTCACGTACCCCGGAGCACAAGCTGCTGGATGATAGGCCATTCCACACTGGAAGACCCGGGCTCTAGAGGATCTTTCAGGTAAGATTCTGGCTACAGGTTGTAGGTTTCACAATGAGCGAAGGAGAGGACAATAAACAAATTTAAAAACAAAGTGCTGTGTCTCATTGCAGCTTTTACTACCCAACTGTGTGCAATTAGACCTGAGGTTCATTAAAGTCTGGAATTTTCAGTGTGACATCAGAAAAAAAAAGGGTAGAAAAGAAGCCCCCTCCCCAACCCCTCCTCCATAAAACCAATGCGAACACTGGCAACATTTATCAGAATAAACTTTTTCAGAACTCTGAAAATTAACCAATCAAAAGTTTGCAGATGAACAGATAAGTGTCAGTAAGAACAGTGAAATGTGGACATTTTAACTGGCCCTATTCCTGCTTCTGCTCACCTCCAATTCCATGGTAGTCTTAACCCAACAGCCCACAAGCATGGTGACCACTAGCAGCCTGGCATCTCTGAAGGGGGCAGAGCAGGGCTGGAGCTTCTTCAAAGCCCAGCCCCAAAGAACGGTCATTATTTGATCCAGCCGGTGCTTCGCTAGAAGATCTCACTTGCAAGGTTGTCTTTATTTGACCTGACTTGGAGCTAATTTAGTGTGAACAGCTTCTTCTCAGGCATTTGTTGAAAACAATCAGAGGCAATTGTTGAAAATCATGATGGCTAAAGTGGCTGATAGCAGTTGGGGGTAGATAATAGGTCGACCAAAAAGTTTAAAAGGAAAATCTGGGGAAGTATCTGTTTGTAGGGAGGTCTGAAAAGCTGTAACATATTCCTTGGGATCCAGAGGGCAATGGGCATGCCCAAGGCTGTGCACATACTTAGGAAATAGCTGAGAAGGCCCTAAACTCTCACTTCTGG